AGCTCTCTGTGGAAATCGATCCCGACCCCTCGGGTAAAAACTGCATCGACCACTCTTGGCATTCTATAGTGGTATAGGGTTGGAACCGATCATGGGCCGCTCGGAACAATCATGACAGCCCCCGAATTTTGTCGCCCCGCCACAGTGGTCTCCTCTGCAACCGAAATAGGCGTCGTCTCCGCACTCCTGCCGGTGTAACCGCCGGCTCCAGATATCGCCAAAGTAGGGTTTCCCCTCGAGGACGTCTCAACCAAAGACGCCCCCTCTGACAACCTCCGCCTCTTTGGCGATGCCTCTTCGCTACTATTGCGAGAAGGCTCGCCCGTTGAACGGACAGCGATAAACGTAGTATTTGACCGGGGAGCAACCTCCAAACGAACGGGATCGGTCGCCGACATGGTTTGTCGCGCAACCACACGTTGGTGTTCTCATCCGCAGGTGCCCTTTGAACGGGTCGGGCTGATGAAGTCGGCTGGCGAAAAGCGAGCGCAAGAGCCCTCGTCCTTCTCACTCCCCTCCGACCTACCAATGAGAAGAGATTTAATCAAGCAAGGATAAGGTAAAAGAAAATACGGAGCAAAGAACAGAGTAACGGGCCACAACGAGCCAACTCATCAACAAGAGGCTTGCGCCCGAACTTCTCATGGAAACGCGCCCATTCACGAATCCCCGTCGTATGGGGAAGAATCGCGCTCACCCACTCGCGAATATCAGCAACTGGCGGAGGAGGTACTCTCTAGGCTACAAGAACATAAACAAACCCTCAACGAGGTCATTAAAGGGAGACGACCAGCGACCATCTTAAGAAAAAATGCATAAAGTAAAAAGAAAAGAAAACCTACGGGAGAAATTCAACGTCTCAGGAAACCCCACCGGGTTCGACACGACGTGCTCCGTTCGAATGTAGAAAAAGATCTCCCAGAAGTGGCGATTTGCCTTGTCGTCCATTTTCACCACCAAACTCTTGGTTCCTCGGTGACGCATGTGAATCATTGTACCCCGAAGAAAATGGGGGCGAAGAGGTGAAGCATGTGTCCTAGAGAGATTCTCCGGCCGGCCAGCTCCACATACTTGATGAGCATAAGGAAAAGCTTGTACGCGTACGGAGAGAGGTGAGCCAGGCACACCTCATAGAAGCGGCAGAAATCCACCACCAAGGAAGGAAGGGGAAGCGTGTAGCCGATGATAAAGGGATAAGCATAAAACGCGCAGTAGCCTGGGCGGTGTAAATGCACTATGTCCCGATCCACCGGAACCATTTCAATATGATCGGGGATCCCCCATTTGGCTTTGAACGTCGTGAGCGCCGCAGCATCCATCGTGGAAGGAACGGGCTCCGGCTCATCTCCAGCAGGGCTATTAAAGTCAGTCCTCGCATTCCCCCGGGCGGGGGACCACCTCATCCAACATCGGAAAGCCCACATCCTCCACCATCTCCACCCCCTCTTCGATTAGGGGTGCATCATTTTCCGACACTGGAGCACCAGCAGCTCTATCGGAGTTAGAAGAAGCACTAGCCATTTTCGCTGTGACCGAAAGAAATGAGAATGATAAGGGAGAAGGGTGGTGGTCACAGCAAATACTAACGGAAATAGAAATTTAAGAAACTGGAGAAGAAGAGTTGCGAAGTTCTCTCTTAAACGATCAAGAAGCGTAACATTCAAATGAGGGATTCTCCCCTATTAATAGGGATATAAATGCCATGAGCGGGAAACCAAGCGCCGCCAGTAATATTACTGAAAGGGCAGGGGAAACGACGCAAAGCATAGGAAACGTGCACCATAATGATGCATGAGAAACATTAATGACATTCTGAACTGACATAACGGTCTGACGCAGTTCTCGAAACGTCACGTCTCTACCTCGCCAAGAGGTGCTCGTCCCTCGCACAAAGTGCTCGGATTTCTCACAAATTTAGGATCGACAGAGCCCGCCCATCGAGCTCACCAAGAGGCGACCCCAACAGGCGGAGGGACGAACTGTATGGGTCAAAATCTGACCAGACAAGAATCTGCGTGGAAAGGGACGGCAAAAAGCTTAACGACATGCACCTCGACCACAACCGAGGTCATGTATTCAGAACGCTTGAGCGGTGAATTGGGTGTTACGATATTTCAAAGGGTCGACCCGTAATATAGTCAAACGACTTAAGTACTATGGTTAATGGCCTACTATATAAACTAAGTGAGAAGAAGAAGAAGAGAAGAAGAAGAAGAAGGGGGGGGGGGGGGGGG